AAAGCTTTCACCACTTTTTCTCGCTGCAGAGGAACAAATGTGTGTCTGGGAGAGAGATTTACACTTTGCTTTCCCTTTTGGAAGCGGAGCGTGATTTTCCAGCGACTGCAGGCACGGGGCCTGTCCTGACGCATCGAGGGAGGCTGGGGCCCTTTGGCGTGTCCGTGTTTAAAAAACACCCCAAAATAGGCAAATCAGAGTATTACTGGGAAAAAAAAACGTGTTTTTTTTTTCTGCCAACCCCATCCAGAATGCAACCAAAACCAAAAAACAGCACATCTGGTTTTGGGGCTGGGAGGGTTTGGGGAGGCACAAGAAGCACAAAGCGGCCTGGGAGAGGGGCAGCCCCGGTGGGGAGAGCCCTGGGGGTGTCCGTGGGGGGGCTCAGCAGCTCTGGGGCTGTGCACGGGCAAAAGGCAGCCAGCACAACAGGCAGCAGGGGCTGCAGCAGGCTCGCCGGCCCCTTGCTTCCCCAGGAACAGTTGAGCCAAGGGGGAGAATGACAAGGGGGAGAAGTTCAGCTGCCTCTGTGCGCCCAGGAGCTTTTCCCGAGCTCTTGCACTGCTGGCAGAGGGCAGGCGGAGGGGCCCCTGCAAACAAAGATGCACCAAGGAATATCAGAACCTCGTAAATATATGCTGAGAGAGGAGGAAAAGGGATTTGAATTTCAACTTTGATGCATAATGTGCTTTCTGTAGAAAAAAAAAAAAAAAGAAAACCAGCCTTGTTGGCAGGGAGCGGGCAGCTTCCCACTAAATCTCCTGGAGGAGCGCGTTGCCAGTTGCAGAGATAAAACCTCAATGAAACGCTGTCAGCTTCCCCACGGCTCAGCCAACCTCACCTCTCCTCCGCACGCATGGGATGGGGATGCCGGCTGTGCACCCCCAGCCCTGCTGCCCCCCGGTTTTTGGGGGGTGAGGGGGATGCTTGGCCCTGCACAGCCGGGGGCAGCGATGCCCGGAGGGCTGTGGGACAGCCCCTGCAGTGGCTGGTGGCTCTGCTCAAGCCCTTGGCTGCCTCTCACTGTGTTTTTGGAGGCGGGCAGGGGCTTGGGGCAGGATCCATGAGCTGATCCCACGTCCTGGCCAGCTCAGTGCTGCTGCCTCCTGTCCCTGCTCGGTCCCCAGGCAGGGCAGGGGCGCCTGCTGAGTTCGCAGGGGTATAAATACTGATTTATTTATGTCTCTATTTATGTAAGGCTAATAAATTGGGATGTTTTCTAGGCTTGGGGTTTGCAGACGTAAGCATCACTCGCGGTCTCATCCCTGCCTGCCCCTCGCTCCCTGGACGTGCCCCGGGGGCTCCTTCGGCTCGGGCTCCTGCCCGCCCTGTCTGAGCCGAGCGCCAAGAGATGCTGGCAGGGCTCTGAGGGGAAACCAGCCCGTTAATTAAGAGCTTAATTACCCAATAACGAACGGTGGACTTAGCTCAACCTTGAAACAGGCCGAGCAAGCGAGGCAGGCACAGAGCCCTTGGGGGAGGGAGGGCGGAGGGGGGCCAAGGGGACGCTCTGCTTGTGGAGCTATTCGCGGATCTATAAATGGAGAGAACAAAACCCCGCAGCTCCGTCGGTACGCCTGTCCCCATTGTCCCTGGGGTGTCCCCACATGCCCTCGCTGCCATCCTCCACATGAGTCCCATCCTCCTGCTCATGGATGGCCCCGTGCTGGCTCCCTGGGGCAGGGGGCTGCTGCCTGGCCAGGGTTGTGGGGGTTTGTGGGGGCTGTGGGGTCCCCAGTCTTACTAAAACCCCATGGTGACCACGGCAGTGGGATGGGGGCTTCATGCATGGAGCCCAGGAATGAGTACAAATGACCCAAATATAGGTCAGAACGTGGTGCCAGCAGGAGAAACGTGGGCTGGGGACCATTTGTCCCTCTGCAGTGTGATGTATCCTGGGGAAAGGGAGCCCTGCGCGCTGGGCACTGCTGCTGCCGTGGAGGGAGGGGACTCTGTGAGATGGAAGGAGAGGAGGATTTCTTTGGCTTGGCTTGTTTTGCTGCAGAAAGGCGGTTTCAGCTCCGAGGGTAGGGGAAATGAAACAGAAAAATGCCTCCCATTAAGCAAAAAGGATCGAGAGCCCTGCATAATAGTGCTGTCTGCAGGGGCTTCTCGCTCGGGATTTGCATCCAGCCCGGCCTCGCGCCAGCGCCTGGAGGGAGCCGTGGCACAGAGGACACACGTGCTGCTCTAGGACACCTGCCCTAGGGTGGGGGAAGGCCACAGATGTCACCCACCCCATGGCCATGGGCAGCACCTTCGTGTCACCCTGCCCTGCTGGGACCAGCCCCAGGCAGCGCACGGCTGCAGGCGTTCCTCGGGGATGCTCCATCCTCCTCCTTCCCTGTCAGTTTTGCTAAAAGCCCGGGGAGAAGTGGATGAGGCGGGGGGAGAAGAAGAACATTCACCCCAGAGAAATTAATCCACCCTCTGAGAAATTAATTACCAGCATTGCATTTAATCAGTGTCAGTCCTGCGTGCCTCGGGCCGGAGGGCGTCGTGACACCAACCCTGGGGTGCGCAGGGCCTGAACCAAGGGTGGGCTTTTGGGGGATGCTCCGGGTGATGGGGGGGCTTTGGGGGCTGCTGGCACCGCTGCCCTGTGAGGGTGGGTGATGCCCTGCGTGGGGACACGTTTCTGTCCTGCTTGTGCCCTCTAGTGGCTTTGTCCCCTCTGAGGTCCCACGGCCACGTGCCCAGTGCCACGGCCACCCTCCTGGGGTCACGGAGCCGAGGTGGCCGGGCTCAGCCTGTCCCTGTGCCACTGGCACTGCCACCAGTGGCATTTACCCCCAGTAGGGAAATGCCAGGAGAAAACAGCTCGGGTCAGCCCTGGGGGTCCCTAGTGGTCCTCTCCTTCCCCATCGCTTTCAGGCTGGAAGGGAGGAGTGCTCCTTGGTTTCAAGGTGTTTGGGTTTGGAAATGTCATTTTTGACACTTTGGGGATGGACCCCAAAGCCCTTCTGGAGGCTGGAGGCCCCAGAGCCAAAACTGCTGGGTGAGTGACTCCTAAATGCATTTTATTGAAGAAAACCAAACCTTGGGATTTCTAAAACAAAGTTTCTCATTCTTCTGGCTGCTTGGGGCTGTTTGCCACCTTTCCATCTCCTCTGTGCTTAATCACGTGGCAGCCTGAGAAAATGCCAACACACTTTTTTTTTCTTATTCTACTGATGTTTCTCTTTTATCTGAAAGAAATAAAAGTGCTCCTTTGCCTCCGGCCCACAGCAGCCTCTGCTTCTCAGTGGCACTCTGGGGAGGGGGACGCCGCAGAGCCCTGCAGCAGCTCCTGCCCCCCCGTGCCTCCCCCTCCCCAAAACTCCTCTCTGTGGGGTTTGGCTCCTGCCCAGGATGATGGAAAGCACAGGGTGGGAGCAGGGTGAGGGTGGGCTCCTGCGTCCCCACAGGGACAAGGGGGTGGGGGTGTCCCCCTGCACTTGGCTAGCAGGGCAATAGTTCTTATCTGAGAAAGCAGGTGTTGTTTAGCAGCTTCCTAAGCCTTTTCTCCCAGAATTGCTGCTTGCAGAGAGAATTTAATTCCCTTTTTTTTTTTTTCACCTGTGTAGGGGAGAACAAAACCAAATGCCACCTGGAGAAGTTTTCTGCTGCTGCGCCCTTAGGGCACCAGGGCTGGGATGAGCTGGCACCAGTAAAGCCACGGCAGTGGATGGGATCAGATGGGGGATGGATGCAGGGACCAGGAGCATCGGCCTCACCCTGCTCGTGCTGGCACAGCCCTAGCTCATCCCCACGGCATCGGGCTGGTCCGTGCACCGAGCGGTGCCAGGCACTGGGGCAGCAGCAGCACAGCCACTGCCACAGGTGTTCTGCGTTTTGGATTCCTCCCCCCTCCAGCCTTGTTAGTACTGAAATTAAAAAGTGTTTGCAAATCGGTGGCTGTTCTCCAGGACCCTAATTAGCAAATCTCTTCATCCCCCCAGGGCTGCAATCTAATAACCAAAAAAAAAACCAACCAAACAAAAAAAAACCACCAAAACCCAACAACCCCAAACGAGCCCCAAACCTTGTTTGATGGATCGGGAGTGCTACCGAAACAGTCGGGAGCGGCTCTTCCTGCTTAGTATGGTAATTAAACACTTCAATTGCAATTATTTTCGCAATTAAATAAGTCCCTAATTGTTATCATAGGTGGCAGGGGTTTGGGTGTGTGTGCTTGCCAGTCCTTCCTCCCTGGGCTGAGTGAAGTGGGGGTGCCCTGGGGCCTGCTCCTGGCTGCTGTGCTGCAGGAGGTGAGTCCTCTGCGTGCTGGGCTGCTTTCTGCAGGCACCCCGACATCTCCCCTGCTGGGGGTGCCCCCCCCTGAACCCCCCAGGGGGGTCACAGCTCCCTGCCCCGGGGAGGAGCGGGGAGGGGACGCTGCCTGCTTGGTTGTCACCTTGATGCAGGTTTTTCCCTGCACGGTGCCACCACCCTGGTGGGGTTCAGCGCCCTCGGGACCCCTCTGAGCCGGGCTGGGCTGGGTGCTGGGGGGGCTGCAGCCCTTCCCTGAGCCCTCCTTGCTCTCTGCAAGCCGCTTGCTTCTTGCCACCGCTAATTGCAGAGGTACAAGGGGGAGGTGGGCGCTGGTCTCGCAGGGGGATCGAGGTGCAACATCCCCAGCCAGGCTGGGGGTCTGAGGGGCTGGGGGGCTTCAGCCCGACCCGGGACCCCCCCGGGAAAGCTCCGGGACCCGGCCGGGAGCGGGGCCGGGCTGCCCCCGGCCGCAAGCAGGGGGAGCTCCGAGCCTGCGCTGCCGCCGGGTCCGGTCCCCGGGGCGCGACTGGGGGGGGCCCGGAGCTGCAGCACCGCCCCCGGCGGGCCGGGCCCCCTCTGTCCCCCCCCCTTCCCACCGACTCTGGGACCAGCCGGGATCATCCTCCCGGTGCTGCCCTCCCGGTGCTGCGTGTGCCCGGCGGAGGGATGGGGATGGATGGGACAGGGGGGTGCCGGGGGGTGGAGAGGCTCTTCTGGCCCGAAGAAATCAAGCATCTCACTTTCCCTCCGAGTTAAATAGGTTTTTATACGGCTGACTTCTGCCCAGGCTCAGTCGCAGACATCCTGGCTTCGCAGTCTTAGTGTTGAGCTATTGGGGAGCCCCCAGCCTGGGGACGGAGCCCGGCTGCTCGGCGGCTCCCCGTGGCACAGGGGGCTCTGGGACCCCTCTCCCTGCGGTGAGGGCTGGGGGTGTGAAGCTGGCAGGGGGAGCGGTGATGGCCCCGACAACGCCAAAACCTCCCCCCGAGGTGGGATGCCAGTTTGCCCCCACGAGGATGCTGTGGGTCTGGGTGTCCCGTGCTCCTGGCTGTCAGCAGCCACCGTGGTGGCCCTTCTGCCACGTCACCCACCCCTCTGAGGGATGGACGTGGCCCTTAGGGCACCAAGGCTGTGGCCCAAACCCCTTTTCCCCACCCTGTGCCCTCCCCTCTCCGTGCCGGCCCTGCTGGGGGCACGCGCTGGCTCTCAGGCACCGCTGCCTGCTGGTGGGGGGCTCCACGCTGGAGGTGTCCTGGCCCTGCCGGTGCAGGGAGAGGCTCTTCTGCAGCTCTTCTCGTGGCTCTTCAAGCACACCGTCCTCCTGGGGAGAAACTGGGGCAGGCAGAGGCCTCCTCGGTGGTGTTTGGGGAGGGAGTGAGTGCCACGTGCCAGCACAGGGATCCTGCAGGGGAACAGAGGGGGTTCAGAGGACGTGCAGGGTGCGGGTGGTTCCCTTGTTCCATTTTCCTGCTCCCCAGCCTAAGGGGGGATGCATTAAGCACGCTGTGAGGCTGGGAGGGACGCGGCGTGGTGCTGTGAGGATGCTCTCAGCGCTGTGTACAGCGAGTGCTGCTGGTGGGGCAGGGCTCAGCAGGCTCCCGTGGCTCAGGTCACCTCATTTGACACCCTGCTGAGTAGCAGAGCTTTGCTTTGTGGCTTTCTCTGCCTGCTCTTCCCCTCTGCAAGGGCCAGCCAGCGGTGGCTGGATCGTCACCTCTGCAAATAACTGGGTCAAAGTGACCCTGAAGGTGTCCCCTGGTGTGAGCGGTGCTCTGCTCCTGGCTGCTGCCTGTCCCTGACGTTGCAGGTGGGTGCTGTGGGGTTTCACGTGGCTCCTGCTGGGGACCCTTTCCGATGTGTCCCCACCATGGGGTGATGTTTCCTGTCTCCACCCCTGTGTCACAGAGAGGAAATCTGTGGCCACGCTAGGACCTCAGATCTGCAAACCTCTCCCTAGATTGACATTGCTTCACTCTGCTGATTGGGCTGGTGATGTCTTGGGGGAAGCTGGTGTTTTGCCTCTGCCTCATGGAAAGTGAACGTCGTTCACTTTCGGAAGGAGTGTGTGGCACGGAGGGAAAGCACGAAGCAGTAAAACAGGAATTGGTTTTCCCTCTGCCCCTGCTGACGCAAGGCTCACACTGCTCCCTGCTTTTGGGCTGGGGACAGCAGCGATGTGACCCTGGGGAGCTGTGACCTGCTGCTGAGCCACGCTGGCACCCCCACATCACACCCAGGAACCCCCTGGGGTGGGGACCCATGCACAGGGTCATCAGCATGACCTTGGCATGGATCAGTAGCTCTCTGGGACGTGCTCACCCAGCCTGCAGCGTGCAGGTGACTTATTTCTTGCCCCCAGGGCTCAGTCAATACAGGAGAACCCACGTTATCAGCACGCAGTGTTTGAGGGAGAGTGTGAAGGTTGGGGCGTCCTTGCCTGGCCCTTCCCGAGAAGGGCTGTGCCAAGTGGCTCTGGGCAGCTCGGAGGCATCCCCACGTGTGGTGGCGAATGACCACGTACGTCCTCCGGCTTGGCACTGCTGGGGAAAGTGGCAACACCTGGCATCAGCTCCCTGCCTCGGGGGCCTGGTCGGAGTCCCTGCAAAAGCTGCCTGTGATTTGTGCGGCGCTGGTGCGGGCTTGCATGAAAATGAAGCGCGCTGGAAGCCTGCAGCCTGGGCGCAGCTGCCTCTGCAGCGCACACGGAGGCAGCTCCCCAGCAGCCGGCAGGGAAGCTGGCAGCCTGAGGGCGTTATGGGATGGCTCTGTGCCCCCACACCTCCAGGGCAGCTGGGGGATGAGGGGGGGAACAGCTCTGGCCACCTCCCCTGGGCTTGGGAGCAAACGCTGCTCCTAAGTGGGCTCTGGGGTTGCCCCTCTCTGCCCCACGTGCCGTTAGGGTGGGATGCCTGGACCTGAAAAAAAAAAACAAAAAACCAGCCCCGTACTCACCCTATAGCCCTCGCCTCTGCCGTCGAGTCTCTCCCTGAGGACAGTCCAGCTTTGTCCTTTCAGCCTTGCAGAATGCTGGAGGAGGGCAGCCGGGAGCAGAGGCTGGGAGATGTGTGTCTGAGGGCAGCAGGCTGGCTGAGACTCACGGCAAGGCTTTGGCACTGGAAAGGTTGAAATTGCACATGAAGACACAAAGAACAGAGGGAGAACAGATGGGTCGGTGCCAGCCTGGATGAGCCCAAGGGCTCCTGGCTTTGCTGCACGCCCACCAGGCGCTGCCTGCCTGGGATCTGTCCTGCTCTGCCCCTGGAAAGGGCAGCCCAGAGCAGGACGTGGTGGCCGGGACAGGTCCTTTTCCATGGAACTGGCTCCTCTGCTTTCCTTTACTGGGTTTACGTGAGTTCCTTCCCTGGTCAGTGAACCTTGGGAAGCAGCTGTGTTCCTCTCAGCCCCGCACGCTCCACCCTACCTGGTCACAACCTACAGAAACTTCTCCTGTGCCAGTGGCTGCACTGTGCCTGGGGCCTCTTGTTTTCCAGGGAAGCGCTGGGGCCGGTCCCCGTCCCTGTTCCTGACACCCCTGAGACCGCCCGTGTTTCTCCAGGATTCCCACTATTGTTTGCTGGTCTCTTCTTTGTGCCTCAAAACAGGAAAGGACTTTGTTATGAAGGGCAGCATTTCAAAATCCTCTGCTCTGAATAACCCCAGGTGGCCGTTCCGAGCTCTGCTCTCATCTGGAGAGGTTCATGGGGCTGTGAAATGATTCATGTTGGCCTTCTCTCTTAATGTCTCTAGAGGAGAGGAGCCAGATTGGTTTGAGCTCGGGGTGAAATTGGCTGCTCCGGGAGCTCCTGCGGCCACCGGGTAGCCCTGGTGGACCCCGGCGGCCTGCCAGCAGCAGGGGCGAGCACCCGGTGTCGGTGGTGCTGGCTTTTGGGGAACAGGCTGGAGGGCCCCACGCAGCCCTTGGTGCATCACTTCCAGGCAGATGAGTAAAAGCAATAGAGAAAGTAAAAGCAATAACCGATCATTCAGCCCTCGAGCTACCTTTTATCTGATTGTGAGCAGAAACCACAGCAGTGGTGCTGCGTAGTATGGGAAAGAGCTTTCTGGATTTAGAAAGGTCAAGAAACATCCCTGGGCTTGGGTCTCCCCCCTCCCTTTGCCGCAGTGCCTGGGTCTTGCTTATGGTCACTGCTGCAGCGTTGGCTGCCACTCACCCGCTTCCCTCGAAGTCCTGCTCCCCTGGGAGCAAGCCCAGATGGGAAAGAGATCTCCTTGTCCCACTGGAAGGGGATGGGAGCTGCTCTTTCTCATGGGTCTCATTCAGATCTACTTGAGCGTCAGGAAAGGGCCCGATCTGCACCGCTGGGCAAGTGGTGGGGCCTGACCCAGCCCTTGCTGGGGCTGCCCTGACCCCGTCTGGGCTGCTGGAGGTGTCCTCTGGTGTTCCCTTGGGTTCCTGGCCATGACTCCTGAGCAGGAACCAGCTGGTGTTTTGCACTGCAGGAGATGCTCAGTTAATAGCTAAAACCCCAGCTGGTGCTGTGCAGGAGCAGCACAGCTCTCCTTCCACAATGACCTGCTCCCGGGGCAGTGCTGCAGCATCTGCATCAGTTCAACTGCATCAGAACTGCATCAGTTCAGCACATCTGCTGAGCACCGAGCTGCTCCTGCCCTTGGTGGGCCGGGGTCCTACCAGGATGAACCCCCCTGGATGGCCGTTCCTCTTGCTAATTGCTTTCCCTGCACTCTTCTGTCTCCCTGTGGCTTATCAAGGTCCTCCTCTCGCAGAGCCCCAGCGCACGAGCTCCCAGTTTGTCCGGGAGCTGTGCTTTTGTTTGTGTAAACAGCACAGCCCTTTCTGCAGAAACGCTGCTACCACTCCAGGTGCATGTTTTGATATACACCTGCAACTGTGTTTGCTAAATGTTGTCCCTCTCCACTCTTCTTCACTTTCCAAGTCAATAACAAAGAGTTGCAGTTTGCATTTGTTCTGGCTCCTCCGTCCTGCTGTGTCTCCTGGGGCCCCGAGCCACCCCTCTGCCTCTGGTCAAGCCCTGCCTGAGCATGCGGGGAAACGTGATGGGGGCTGAGCCTCTTGTGTGGCTTTGTCCTCTGCCTCACCTCCCCACGTTCTCCTTCCCATGGCTTCAGAGCCCGTTTTGGGGACAGAACCAAGGGCACGTGCACGAGCACAGCTTCTCTGCGGGCGTGTTGAGGACAGGGAATGAAAGGAGAGTTTATCTGCAGGATGGAAAGTTTCTGGGCTATCGGGGAATTATCAAGCACTGCCTAGAGGTTAGATTAAAGCCTGGGAGCAGCAGCTTGCATGGCAGCAGACAGCACATGTCCCTGCTCTCCTTATGCTCAGGGGAGGTGAAGGAGGTGCAGGCTGACCCCTTGGGGATGTGGGATACCGTGGAGCACACCCACATCAAGCCTGTCTTCTCCTTGACTGCACCCTGCCAGGATGTGCCCCAGGGTTGTTGGGCTCAGGGTGGTGCTGGGTGAATTTTTGGCTTCAGTTTTGGGTGGTTGTTTGTATTCCTAAAACCGTCGCCAACCTAATTTTGGTTATTCTTGCTTCTTTCCAGAGATGGGAATGGAATTGCTGTTGGCTGAGCTCGCTGCTGATGCTGACCCAGAGCCGCGACGCCTGGGGCGCGTGTTGGAGCCGAGAGGGGAACCCGCAGAGCCAGGATGGGGACCCAGAGCTCCGCTCCTGCAGGGACTCGCAGCGTGACCACAGGTGCCCTGACACTCTGCGCCCTGGGGACAACACCCCCTTGTCCCCGCTGTGACAGGCAGCGACATTTCCCCAGTGCCCATGGCCGTGCCAGCCGCCTGCCCCCAGAAAGCAGGGCATGGCAAGCTCCTGGGAGCAGCTGTAAATAACAGCTACACCCCCGTGTTGTGTTTGTTAGCAAATTCTGATGGCAAAGTGGTCCCCATTACCCAGAAAAGCCAGGGATGCTTTGTGGTCATGGTGGTGCCCAGCCACCTGGCGCAGCTGAACCTGGGCCACCAGCACGGAGGGAGGCAGGGCCCCCACTTCTGCTGGGTTGTAAAGAGCGAGGGGTGCCTGGGCAAGGACCTGTCGCTGGGGCATCCAGCTCGCTGCTTAATGGCTTGCAGGCTAAATGAAGGTCTAGAAAATGAGGTCCCTACCCCTGCCCTCCTCCCAGGGACGGACCGACCACCAGGGTGCTGTGGGTGAGAAGGCTCTTACCTTTGGAGGGCTCCGTCAACCAGCGAGGTCCCCTTCCCATTCCTGATCTCCAGCTTCAGGCTTTTCCCCTCCTGCCCCTCCTGCCTGTCGGGGCCCTGCCTGCAGTTCCTGCCCCTGGGCCGCCCCTTCTGGGGGGGTGACAGGCGGGAGCTCCTGGCTCCCCCCGTCCTCCAGCAGTGCAGCAAGTGCTGGTAGGCCACCCGAAAATCCCTGTTGAGCGTGCCATAGAGGATGGGGTTCAGCGCCGAGTTGGCGTAGCCCAGCCAGAGGACGATGGACATGGGTGCTCCTTTGACACCGCTGTCCCCCCACACCCCTCGGTACGTGAACACGGTGAAATAGGGGAACCAGCACACCACGAAGGCGCCCAGCACCACCGCCAGCGTCACGGTGGCTTTGTGCTCCTTCACCATGGGCGGCATGGGGCTGTTGCTGCTGTAGCACCACGTGTGGTTGATCCTCTTGGCTTGCTCCCTGGCTATCTTGAATATCCGGTAGTAGGTGACGCACATGATGACCAGAGGGATGTAGAAGGTGAGCAGGGCATCCACCAGCCCGTAGATGGGGTTAACCTCCAGATCGCACGTTTTGGTGCAGTTGGGGGTGGTGTTCTGCACGGCCGTCCCGTTGGTGTTCCAGCCCAGGTGGATGGGCAGGAAGGAGACCATCAAGGAAACTGCCCAGATGATGACCAAGCCCACGGCCACCCGGGAGGGGGTGACCACCTGCCTGTAGCGCAGCGGGGTGGTGACGGCGAAGTAGCGGTCCAGGCTGATCATGAGGAGGTTGAGGATGGAGGCCGTGCACAGCATCACGTCCAGGCTGGAGTAGATGTTGCACAGGGTGCTGCCGAAGGGCCACTCGTGGGTGAGCTCATAGATGGCGGAGAAGGGCAGCACCAGGAGGGCCAGCAGCAGGTCGGTGATGGCCAAGGAGACAATGATGCAGTTGGTCAGGCTGCGGAGCCGGCGGTCCAGGGTGACGGCCAGGCAGACGACGATGTTGCCGCAGAGGGTGAACACGATGAGGATGGTGAGGAAGGAGCCGACCAGCACCTGCAGAGGGAAGCTCATGGGTTTTGTAGAGTCTGTGATGTTGTTACACGGATCCATGGTGCGGTTGCATGGATGGAGAGGTCCTGCTCTCACCTGGCTCTGCGGGTGCTTGGAGTGAGCCTCTACCAGGCAGCCCTAGAGCCCTTTTCCAAGCCAATTTTGGGCCTGCAGTGACTTGGAGAACACTGCAGTCATCTTCACATGTTCAGCCTTGTCTGCTGGGAGTGTCGTGGTCTAGGAAAGCCATGGTCCTGTGACTTGCTGCTGCCAAGTGGCTCATCTGGTGCTGGAGCTGATCCCCTGCAGCAGCTGCTGGTGGGTCTCAGCTGCTTTCTTCACCTCTCCTCGGTGAGGTTGGGTCCCATCGGGTCTCACACCTGCCTCATTGTGTGCTCGGGCTGGAGATGGTGGCTGGGGATGCTCTGCAGGGACAGAGCTTCACTACTTCTTGAGGACAACCTGCAAAGAAAGCACCAAGTAAGGGCAACAGTCCCTTGAGATTCCCATCACCAGCCCCTCCAGAAATAGGGCATCTGTGCCTCCCTGGGCACTTCAGCCCATTTAGACCTGAAGCAGAGAGTCCCTTGGCAGCTGGGGACACTGCTCAGCCCCAGGGCACCCACGTAGCGGAGCAATGGGGAGCAAAGGGCAGGGGTTTCAGAGGAAATGAGTCCCTACAGGCTGGTGGTAAAAAGAGGGCCAGGAAGAACAGAGGAAAGTTTTCCTGAGAAAGCAGTGCGCTTCAATTAAGCAACCTAGTAAAATTAGTCATTGCTTTATGAAGCTCCACAGCTGATCTGTGCCGGTAACTGGGCTTTGAAGTGTCCCGTGCCTTGTGCTGGTCCCTGCTGTTAGCAGCTGTGCTGACTCAAGCATCCCGCAGCACAGATCCCTGCTCTCTACATCTGGGGTCCCAGGGGGAGCAGGGAGCCCCTCTGAGCGATCTGACACCCCAGCAGGAGCTGGCTGGGGAGGCTCTGCCAGCTCCATCAGCTGCTCCTGACGGTGGCTGAAAGCAGCCAAGAGCTTCAGGGAGTGCTTGGATGAAGCTCCTGCTGTGGGGCAGGGGTTCAGAGTGCAGAGCAGCCCTTGCAGGTTTGCTTTTTATGATTACTTTCTGCCTGGATATAAATAAAAAGCTATTTTTTTTTTCTCCAAGGGCAGAAAGCACACAACGAGCCCCTCTAACCTGCACGAGGGCTTTCAGCAACCCGTTAGGGTGCTCTCCAGGACCTTGTCGCTATAGATTCACAGGGCTCTTGGCTGATGGCAAGCAGTGAGAGTGTCGGGAAGAGGCTCAGAGGAAAAACCAAAACACTGCAGGGATCAGCAAGAGGGGCTGGGAGCAGGCTGGGGAGGAAGGGGCTGGTTCTCTGCAGGGTGCAGAGATGGGACAAAGTGAAGACTTCACAAGAGGAGGAGGTCCTGGGAGAGGCCACTGGTGAGATTATAACATGCTGACTTGTCAAGAAAAAGATAATGGCACGGAGTGGGCTGGGCTGCTCTTCAATTGATGTGTGCCTTTGCCTCAAGGTTAAAGGTAAGCGAGCCAAGGCAGGGAGCATCTGGGAGCGAGTGCCAGGGTAAATAAGCGCTGATTGCCGGGAGCCACGTGGGGATTGGAGGTGACACCCGCAGCCCTGCTGCTTCGAAGGGAATTAGGAGTGTGAAGTGATGAACCGGCCCGTGGGATGCCTCCTGCTGCATGGAGCGAGCCTGATGCCAGATGGGGGGTCTCGGGAATTTGGGTGCTGGGGCGAAGCCTGCTGGGAGCTGGATGCGGTGCTTTCAGCCGTGGTGGCGGCATGCAGAGCGTTTCCTCGCCTCCCTGCAGCGCGGGCTCTCTCCGCAGCAAGCTCTTTGTTCGCGCACAAAGGGAGCGGGGAACGAGCCGAGCGCTGCCGGCTTGCTGCTGGCAGCCAGGAGAACAGGTTGTTCGCGGAGAAGGGTATTTCCAAGAGAAAGGGATGTTTTTTCATTACTCCTAACGCGCTGGAAATGGCAGGATAAATTATAGGGGGAGTAGCATGCTTAGAAAATGCCGTGGGTGGATCACAGCCTCCTACGTGGCTGCTCCACCGCACACCAACAGCCCGCTCCTGCCGCTGGCTCGCGGGGGCTGTGCAGGGGGCTCAGCACCCACCGTAGGGCAGGGGCTCTGCTGCCTGCCTGGTGGCCAGTGTCACCCCGACTGTGGGCCAGGGAGCCTGGTTATGCTGCCGAGACCCTCATGGCACGGTCTGCTCCTTCCCCTGTGTTTCAATTCCCCTCGTACAGGCAGCGCTGCTGATCCTGCAGACCGGGTCACGGGCAGTTTTGTTTCTTATTGCTTCTCTGATTAGCTCGGGGTGAGAAGCAAACACTTTATTTTTCTTGGGCAGGGAGTAGGAGGCATTTCCAAGTGTGATACGGAGCTGCTGAGCCACGGGGGGTGGAGCATCCCCACAGAGCTGCCAGGAGCCTTTGCTCCTCCACGGGCTGGGGCAGGACTCGTGGGGCGGATGCAGGATGCAGCACCGTGGGCTGGGTCCTGGCACGGTGCTCAGTGCTCGAAAGGCAAAACCTGAGCTGGGGAAGGGGGTAGGAGACGTGCACAATGTCCAGGGTGAAGCACCCAGCACCCTGCTCTCCTGCAGCACCGTCCCTCTGCCACTCTGCTCAGCTTCATCCAACACGCGGGTCCCCAGTTCCCGATGTATTTCAGCAGGATGAATTTATGTCCTCCTCGATGTACGCCCAGGGCGGCCGTTTCCCATGGCAGCCCTTCTAGCAACGGGCTGCATAAATCACACCCTGCCGGCCCTGTCTCATCGGCAGGTTTTACACCTACCTGACTGTCCCCATTAGCACGGCCTGGATGTGCTCTTGGACAAAAATCTCCCTTCAGCCAGCGAGGGAGCAGAGGAAGGCGTCGCTGCTGGTTGTCCCTGTAGTGCCTTTCCCAGCGGTGCTGGGGCTCTGATGGATGCTATCGCTGCTGCGAGACCTGGTCAGGCTGCAGCCGTTTTCCTACAGACATCCTAGAGTTCCCTAAAAGCCTGGTACTTCTCCTGTGCTATTTTGGCTGCTCACAGTCCCTAAGTGTATGAACTTGTGCCAGCCCATTTTGTTTCTGTTGATCTTTGGATCCTTTGGTTCTTCTCCTGCAGCACTTCAAGTCCCCTGCCTGGTTCAAAAGTTCTCCCAGGCATCTCACTAGTGCATTTTCTTGAAGGGCTTCCATTTTCTGAGCCAAGACCGCTAAGGATAACCATTAAATAAATTCCATCTCTAGACTAATGTTTAAGGAACTCTATTAACAGCCTTCTCCAGAGCACTACTGATCCTCCTGTTGCAATGTCCTACCACCTTCCCCATTAGCCAGTTTAACCTCCTCACAGTCCTGGTAGTAATTCCTGCCTCCTGCCCGAAGGGTTATTTTGTGCTCTGTGGAAGCCCACGTACGACTGACCCACTGCATTTAAAACATAAACTATCTCCTCCGGGGAGGAGGCTGTGATTTATCTATGGGAAATTTCTCTTGCACTTTCCCTTCCTCTGCTCCCCCTGCCATTCATCTCAGCAGCCCTTCCTTTGGCGCTGTTTGTTCCAGCTCTCTGTGCACTTTTGCAGTGAGGCTAATGGGACAGCATCGGTAATATGTTTGCTGCTCTCCATTCATGTGGTTCTACTTCTGCCTTAAAAGGTTCATTGCAAATCTGTTAAAAGCTTAGGTTGAAAGCAGATAGATGGGCAGGAGGGAGTGCTCGGCGAGTGCCTGGGCACGGCAGCCTGTTGTGGGGAGCGTTTCCAGGTCCCTCAGACCCGAAAAGTCCCTGCCTTCTGTTGGTGTGTGTCCGAGCAGGGCGCTGGCACAAGTCACTTAGGAGCAAAGCAAATTCCCCAGCCCCACGGAGCTCGCAGCATGGCATCATGGCTTTTTCCAGAATGGTGCTCGAGTATTTAATCAAGAGATTAAACAGCTGGGTACACTGAGAGGTGCTTCTGGCAGGGCTGCATGGCAGGGCGGGGGGGATTTCTGCTGGGTTAAGGAGGATTTTTGAGGTTTGGTGGTGGGGAGCAGGCAGGGCTGGGAGCTACCAAAGGGCTGTTCCCACCCTGTGCCAGAGCCCTGAACCTGTCCCACAAAAGGGGGAAACCCAAATTCCCCAGAAGTGTGGCTCGAAGGCGAGGTGAGGGTGCCGCGGAAGCCAGCTTGTCATGCTGTCCGCGGGGGCTCACTGAGGGTGTGGGGTTGTTTCTGGTTTGTCAGAGCACCCTTTTGGAAGGGCTGTGCTCCTCCCAACGCCCACACCTGTGGTTTTACCCCTGGAACATCCCTGGCCCCCTTATCTCCATTTCCCCCTGCCCTCCGTGCGCCCACGCTCTGATGGGCACGTGCCAGCTGTGGCTGGGCCCTTTTCCAGCCCCTCTGCACCCCTGGGGCTGGGGCACAGGCAGGGGGGTCCCGCCTGGCAGCACCCCCAGCACTTTTATCCCTGCTCCTCAGTTCCCTCTGCTACCTGTTGCTCTCTCTGCCCCGTCCCAGCCTGAAACCTGACTGATGCACAGCAGAACTTGCTGCCTACGGTGTAAGCAGAGGGGCTGGGGAGGCAGGACACAATCCCCCTCCCCACCACGCTCCCAGCCCTCTGTCCTGCCCCCCCTGGAGGGCAGAGGATCCGTGGGCGAGGGTGTTTGGGCCCTCTGAATGCAGAGAGCACCAAGGGTTATGCGGAAATGGGCAGAGAGCAGGCAGCGCTTGACAAGTTTGCTCTGTGGTGACTGCAGGAGAGAGGTGAAACTGAAAACAAGGGTGCCGGGCTCCTGGATGTGCTTCAAGCAGCACGAGTCATGGACAGAGATCCAACATCCAGCCTGCTGCCCCAAACCCACGGCTGGGTTGGGAGTCCTGAGGACAACACCCCCCTCCTGTGCCTGGGGACCAGTCCCAGATACCAGTGGAGACACTGGAGGGACTGGCTTAGGTGCAAGAAGTTGGTTTAGGAGCAAACCTTGTGGGGAGGTTGGTGGGGGGAGATGCTTCACTCCTGCCGGGCAGAGCGCTGCCTCTGCACCCCAGGAATGCTGCACCCAAGACCTCTCTCTTCAAGAGGTCTTGAACTCTCAAGAACTAAAGAACTATCAAGAACAAAAACTATCAAGACCCGACAGTTTTTGTTTTGTTGGTCCCCACCAGCAGAAGTCCCCAAACTGCCCTCTGCTCGGGGCAGTGTGAGGGGACAGCACGAAGGTGAGGAGCGGCACCGCCCTCACGCTCTGAGCCGAGCAGGGGGTACCCGGCACACCCCGACCCACCGACCCCTCGGAGTTCTCACCTAGAAAGCCATTCACCAGCTAACAACCAAGAGGAAAAAGAAGCAGGCAAAGCTTTACCTGGGAATGGTGCCGGTTTCTCGCAGCCCCTGGAGCAGGTGGGAGCCCCAAGTTTCCCCTGGTGTGTGTGGCTCGGTTTGTGTGGGGAGCAGCGTGTGTGCGAGCTGGGGCTGCCTACTGCCCTCCCTCCTCCTCCTCGCCTACCAATATCCAGGCAGCGCGCTGACTGCAACATGAGTCAGATCACAAGGGGGTGGGATCACAGCCTTGAACTCAGACGTCGAGGTTATCATCCGGCAAAATTTGAAATGCTGAAAGGAGTCGTGCAGTGGGCACGCGGCGTGCGGGGCTCCCCTGAGCCGTGCCAGGCGCAGCGAGGGGCTGGGTGCCTGCTGGTGTCCCTCGAGAAGCCCTTTGAGCTGCTCCCCATTGCAGACAGGAGCTTGCTTGCTGCTGGAGGTCTGATGCTGTGGGTCTTAGAGTAGAGCTGTTTTTGTGTTTGGTGTGAGCCCCCAAACGCATCCAAGCTTGAAGCTTGGGTGTCTGAGGTGCTTCAGAGGCTGCAGGGCTCTCTGGCTGAGGGGTGTCAGAAGTGTCAAGGCTGTCTGGTTGCATGGGGAAACGAAAAGGAAAAAGGGGCAGAAATCTGCAGACTTGAAGCAGCAGGAGGAGCCCATGCTGCCCTGCTAGTGCCTGACAGAGGCTCCAAGAGCGTGGCCAGCAGCAGGGATGCTCCTGGCTGGGTGCTGCCCTCAGGGCTGCACCAAACTGGTGTAAACTGTCCCCTGCATGTGCCACTCAGGAGGGCTGAGGGGGGTGTGCCAAGTGACAAACAGGCAGTGGCAGCCTTTCCTGCTTCTCATATCTTTCTTTTATGGGTTTTAAAGCCTTGTGCAAATATTAACTGCTGGCACAGCTGTGCAAGGAGCTACTTCCCCTTTTAGCTCTTGCCCTAGGGCTGGGCTGGCAGCAGAGCTCTGGCCAAGCCTGGCCATCCAGATGGCTCCATGTGGCTGGGGTGAGCAATGCCGGTCACTTCTGTGCCCCCAGCAAATAGCCAGGGACTGACGTGTCTCACTGAGGGCAGGATGAGGCCCTGGGATCCCCAGATTAGGCAGAATTGGATCTGGCTCCTCCACCAGCCAGGCTGTGATGCCCCAGTGCCAAAAATGTCCCTGCCTCAACCCCAGCCAAAGAGGGACACCAGCTGCCCTGGCACACACAGCAAAACACCTTTGATGTGTTTACCTCTGCAGTCCCAAGCACGGATCTATCTTTAATAAGCCGGGGGTCTGCTGGAGCTCCAGAGTTTTCCTGCTGAGTGGCAGTGCTGTGGTTCAGCAGGGACGCAGAGCATCTGCTGCGTGGTGCAGAGGGAACCCTCCGGCAAAACAAGATTAAAATCCGCTGAGGAATGTTCCTCAGCCAAAGTCGCTAGGGTATTGACTTCTATCCTTTGGCTGTGCTCTAGGAGGGTTTTTTTTCTTTGGTCTGGAAGTCTCAGGCTGTGAAGTGCTTTGTGGGAATAAAGGGCTATTGGGTCAGGGCCCCCCAACTCCCTCACCCTGATCCCTCCCAGCACAAAGTCCCTGCTGCCTGGGGAGCAGGAAAGCCACACGAGCTGGGAGCTGGGTGTGCTCTGTCTTTCCTTGGGGAGCTGGGAGAATCCAAAGCCTCCTGCAGCTCCGTCAGCCCCATGGGCTGCAGCAGGGTGCTGGCAGGGACATCTGAGCCATCACTGCCGTGCCGCTGGTGACACCGGGGCTTGCCAAGAGCACGCAGACATCGGAGAAACTCATGGACTGGGACTGAGAGCCCCAAATGGGCTGTGCAGAGCTGTGGTGTGAGTAATGGGTCAGGAAATTAAAAGGTTTTCTGGCATCCTGCGCATGTTTAAACAGCAGTTTATTAAACGTGACGGCAATGCTGGGAGCTGGGATGCTGGGAAAATGCAAGAAAAGCCAGGGAAAGTCTGGGACTTCTGGAACAGGGATGCAAGATTTGGCAAATGGGAGCTCCTAGAAAACCTTTGTGGAGGAGTTGTGCCCGGAGGGAGGTGGCAGATGTGGGAGACCCCCATAGCAGGTCAGCTCGATAGGGGCCGGGGGAGTCCCAGTGGGGTCCAGATACTGCTGGGAGAGGCCTGCGCTGGGGAGGTGGGACTTGTGCTGAGCTGTGTCCTAACCAAAATCTGTAGAAAGATCCTGACCCGGACGCATGGAGCTGCTCTCCGTGGGTGGATGGGAGAGGGCAGTAGTCCATTCAGATCTTCAGAACATGCAGTGAAGCTAAAAGTCAGGGATTTCCCAGATGTGCTGGGGTTTTGTTAATCACTTAGCTTGTTTTTTCCCCAAAATATATTCCCGTAAAATCCTGCCGTGGACAAAAAGGTTAACTACAATAGATTTTCCTGCTGGGGGCTGCGGAAGCTGAAGCACACTTATGGGAATGGTCGCTGCGAGGGGAGGAGGCGCAGAACAGCGGCAGGGAGGGGGGCACCAGGGCCTGGCCAGCGTGGGAGGGACCCGTGCTGGAGACACAGCCCTGCCCCTCGGTGACCCAGCTCTAGAGCAACATCCTGCTGGGAATAACCTACTTGAAGCTATATACACGGGTTGCCACTAATTCTGGCTGTTCCAGGAACATCTCTGTCCCCAGGCACCTTTGTCATACCGGGACTGGAGAAGAGAAGGGTGCTCAAACCTTTCCCACCCTCCTGGGTGCGGCACTGGTGATCCCAATCAGACTTAGCAGGATCCCATCTGCTGCGAGATGGTGTCAGACTACAGACACTGTCTGTGCCATATTTCTATAGCTTCTTAGTGCAGAGAGGGGATGTTAGAGGTTTATTTCCAGTTTGCTGGTCTATTTGTTTTATACAAAACCTTCCAAGCTCTAACGAGGACTGGAGAGTGCTAGCTGGCTTCCCACTAGTATTAAGCATCCTGCAGGTGGCTGAGGGCTCACATTATCCAGCATCTCCACAGGCCAAGGAGGGTCCTCAATTCACACCCTGCTGCAGGGGACTGGGTGACAACGGGGGCTGTGGCAGCCTGCTTATGCTGCTCCGTGGCTGGCGATGGAGCTGCTGCTGCGTGTGGGAGAGGGTAAAGAAGCAGGGGATTTTTCTGCCCTGACCCACGTATGAATGTCTTCTGATGCAGGTAGGGCTTCCTGAGGGTTGATCTTGGCTGATAGGGGCCTCCTCCTCATCTCCTGGGTGCAGGAGGACTTCCTCTTGATGGAGACTTCCGTGGCTGAAGTGCTCTGTGGGTGAGGGGAACACAGGGTGTGCAGGGCCTGGAGGACGTGTCCCCTGAGAAAAGTCCGACAGAGTTTTGCAGGACCAGACACCACAACCTACCTCTATTTCCAGGTCTGCCTACCTCCGGGAGGAAAAGCAGCCAAGAGCTTAGGTTGCAAAACCAAAAATTAATTTAAGCTTACTCATCATAAGGACCATCACGTGCTGGAAGGAATTTCTCAAGGAAGTTTAAGTTGGACGAAGTCCCAAAGCCCGCCTGGAGCCACAACACCTGGCATCGCCTGCGTATCGCTCTGGGTGTACCCAGCCTGTGCACACCACTGGTTGCTGACAGCCACCACCGTGGGAGCGGCTGAAATGGCTCGGGGTGAGCGATCTGCCTGCCAGGGATTGCCTTGGGGTGGAGCAGAAATGAGTGCTGAGGTGTGCCTGGCATGCTCAGCTGATGACAGCCACACCGGCGGGGACACCGCTGTGCCAGGCGCTGGTGGAGGGGTCAGACCCCACCATGCACAGGGTGGGCATCGCCAGGGCCAAGAGGCAGCACGTTCCCAAATTATGTACTTTTTTTTTTCCTTTACACAGCCTGGAATGAGGCCAAAAACCTAGGGCTGGAATCTCTCTCCAGACAATTAATTATTGCGGAGAGACAATTTGTTAAGCAAGAGAGGCTTTTAATTTGCAAGAGCTCGTCTATTCTTATTGTATCTTTTAAACTGAAGGAAGTGGAGTTGATCGAAATAGACTGGAAATAGAAGATTTTAATTTAGAGGCTATGTTCAGTGTGCTGACAAAAATAGGAAACAGTGCTCTCAGAAGAGCATGCTCCCCCTGAAACCTGGCTGGAGCGTGCAAAGAGTGCTCAGAAATATTTCAAATCATTAGAATAGGTTTGAAAAATCTTTCATTGAAATTCATCTGGACTTGCTCAGAAAAGGCAGGACTGTCCTGGATTTCTGGGCTGAGACCTTTCCTTTCCCTTGCACGGCACTGAGCTATGCTTGCCCCACAGCAGCCCCAAAGTGTGAGGTGATGGGGAAGAAGGTGGAAGAGGGATGTGATGGTTGGGGCAGGCTGGTGGCTCTGGGACTAGTGCAGCCCCTGCATGGGACTGGTGGCAGCTGGTGGGGCTGGGGTCACACAAGGACCTGTTTCCAGCTCAGCATCTTCCCAGCAGACACCATGTGTTCTCCAAAATCCGACAGCCTGTGCAGCAAAGGATAGGTTTTGACCGGGCTCCTTATTGCACTCGTTCTTTTGAAGTAGCTATATTTAGAAATCTTTGTGAAGTCTCACATTGACACTTTTCAAAGGAGAATGGTTCTTTTTTTTTTTCTTTTTTTTTTTTTTTTTTTCTTTGAAACAACTTATTTAGAAATTTGTGCTTATCATTCGTGCAGCATAGCAAGTAGGTTGGTCTGTAGATTAAGCTGGAAATGGAAGTGAGAACCTTTCTTGTCATTGCTCTGAATGCCTCACCTGCAAAATATCCCAACTTTTTGTCCCAGTTCAGGCTGGGGATTACTTTAGGTCCGTGAATAGAAGTCATTTCTTGTATAGTCTAAATGCTGTAAGGAATAGCCACTGACTGGAAATGAGGTGCTGCTGTCCTTACAGGACGAGGAACTCTCCCAAAATGAGGCACCGTGCCCTCTGGCTGCAGGTCTCTCAGGAAGGAGCTTGCTGCAGAGATCGCATGAGCTGGCTGGAGGAGAGGAGCCAGCCCCCGGGCAATTCAATTGGAAACAGAATCGACTCTGTTTGCTTCAGTTTAAAAAATAATAATCTGTAATGAAGTGAAGGCAAAAGGGAAAATGGGTAGAAATTGAATTAGAGCTGCGCTGGTTCCAGCACTCCCCTGCGGCCCCTTCTGCAGGCTGAGCCCCGCCAGCGCTGGGTCCTTCCTGGCTGGCCCTGAAGCTAGAGGGGCA